GGAGTTATTGTGTTTGTTGTTGTTGTTTAAGATGGGCTCCCTCTGTCACCCAGGCTGGAGTGCAGTGGAGTGATCATAGCTCACTGCAGCCTCGTCCTCCCAGGCTCAGGTGATCCTCTCACCTCAGCCTCCTGAGTAACTGGGACTACAAGTGTGCACCACCACACCGGGCTCACTTTTTGTAGAGAGAGGGTTTCCCTATGTTACCCAGACTGGTCTTGAACTCTTGGGCTTAAGAGATCCACGTGCCTTGGACTCCCAAAGTGCTGAGATTACAGGTGTGAGCCACCACGCTCGGCCAGAGTTATTATTTAATGGGTAGTTTTTGTTGGAAACAATGGAAACATTTTGGGCATAAATAGTGGTGATGGTTATACAACATTGTGAATATATTTTTTGTTTGATTTTTTGAGACAGAGTTTCGCTCTTGTTGCCCAGACTGGGGTGCAGTGGCACGATCTCCGCTCACCGCAACTTCCACCTCCCGGGTTCAAGCGATTCTCCTGCCTTAGCCTCCCGAGTAGCTGGGATTACAGGTGCCTGCCGTCACGTCTGGCTAATTTTTGTATTTTTAGTAGGGACCGGGTTTTACCATGTTGTCCAGGCTGGTCTCGAACTCCTGACCTTAAGTGATCTGCCCGCCTCAGCCTCCCAAAGTGCTGGGATTATAGGCATGAGCCACCACACCTGGCCCCATTGCCTTAATTTTAAAAGAAGAAAACCTTAAACTTCATTCCTTTTCAAAGTGCACTGACATATAAAAAAATAGTAATATTAAATCCAAGAAGAACTTAGCACATATTTATTTCCTATGAAGTTCTAAAATTTTTCACATTTCTTTTGGGATTTTTTTTTTTCCCTTGAATCAGAGTCTTGCCCTTTTGCCCAGGCTGATCTTGAACCCCTGGACTCAAGCAATCCTCCTGCCTCGGCCCCTCAACATGCTAGGGTTAGAGGTGTGAGCCACTGTGCCTGGCCCACATTTCTCACATCTTATCAATTTATTAAGGCTTTAAGATGGTAAAGCCTCAGCCAAGGTGTGGCCAGCTAGGAGGTGGCAAAGTTAGGATCTGATTCCAGTCTCATCTTTCAGTTCTCTATTATTCTGTTTTGTGCTACCTCTGTAGAACTTAAGCCAATAAAGTGTTAATATCTTGGAATTTTTTTTTTTTAAACTTTAGCTAATGATATATGCATTGCTTAAGTTTTTTGATGAACTGATAGGTGCAATTTCGTCAGAAATGCCTAAAAAATCCTGAACTGGTCTGGGCACAGTGACTCATGCCTGGCCAACATGGCGAAACCCCATCTACGCTAAAAAAACAAAAATTAACCAGGCGCTTGACGGTAATCCCAGCTACTCAGGAGGCTGAGGCAGGAGAATCGCTTGAACTCGGGAGGTGGAGGCTGCAGTGAGCCAAGATCATGCCACTG